TGTAATGATTTTTCTAAGATTTTTAAAACATAGTTCTTGGATTTCTAATGCTGGAAATATTGGTGTAATTTCCTCATTATGTTTCCCTTGTGGCTTCAAAATACTAGTAGTAATAGAGGAGGGATTGCAATTATTATCCCTTAGTTTTTATTCCTTTTGTTTCTTTTATCCAATTTGTTTCAAATAAGGATACTGGATCCAGATGTAAATCTGATAAATACAATTACTTGTTTTCTTAAAAACTTATCCCTAGCAACAACTTGGAACTTTGGAAAATGCAGAACTTCGATCTGTTATAGATTAGGAAACCCTAACATGCTTTTTAATGAGGTATCAGATGATGGCCCTCTAGAAATTTGAGTTGATCATTTATTTTTGTATTAAACAAACCACAAAAGTGTACATTTAAATTTTATTGTCATGTAAGCACACACACACGTTTCAGTGTGTGCATGAGGTGAGAGAGTTGGGTGAAGTATTTGAACGTCAAACATGTTTTTTGCTGTAGTAGGCTTGTCTAATAAGTGTACAGTGAGTCTTTTCTAAGATAGAGAGGTATTTCTGTAATGTTTTTGTCCTATTTTATATGAGCATATTCAGCAACACAAGGAAAACAGAGATGACAAGAAATCGCTTCACAGAATGCATCTGAGGTTTCTAAGAGTTGAAATCTTTGATGAATTTTTCAAGAGCTGGCTGCTTTTTAAAGAAATTTATAATGCAAGGTGTTTGAGTAACTTTTAAAAAGTTGGGTGTTGACAGATTTAAAATCAAAAGGAAATAACTGGAGTGATCTGGTGCATTTTTAAAGCCGGTTAGAAACAAGAAGTCAGTGGTCACAACTGCCTTAGCTTTTATATTTTGTTACATTTATGGCCATTGAAAATTTAAATCCATGCATGTTCCCACTAGCTAACACAGGAATAACAATTGCTGTTTCTTATTTAACGGACAGATTGCTAAGAATTCATAAGACAATCAATATCTAATACTTAGCTTACAAAAGGTTAGTAATGTAAATATGTATTTCATAACTGTTTATGAACAATACCATGTAACGCTGATTTAAATAGACATTAGACAGCCAACAGAGTCACAATGAAATGAAAAGGCAACAATGCAAATTAGAAGAGGAAGGGGAATGAAACTAAGTGGTGAAAACCACAAACTTCAATGAAACATACGTATAGACAACAAAGGAGCATGTTGTCACATCAGAATGTTTGTATTCAATCGGAATGAAATGGGAGTCGTGTGACTTCTAGAAGATGGAGCCAATGGCCCAGCAGTTAAAAGCACACACTGCACTGACAGAAGACTTATTTATATCTCTTAGAGAAATGAATCAATTTAGGGTGAGAACTCTGATTTGTTTAACAAGCCAATAGCCCTAGGTGATCTAAGTAATCATAAATAACAATTGCCAACAGTGTAGGAGAGAAGACAGTAACTGTAAGGGTTCATCCATGGGCACATTCAAATTGCCAAATCATTGTTGGAAAATGGCAAGACTATGTATTCTGGGTCATTAGAATATTTATCATGATACACAGTCTGTCTATGTATCCTTTATTATATCCATATTTAAAAATTTGTCATTCTTAGTCTGGCTTATAAATGTAAAATTGGATTATATAATACAAAACTGGTATTTAATGTTCTGTCCTATCCACATTTTTTTATATTTCTTCTCAAATCTTTTTAACATCCAAAATACCGCCACAAGACAAGCCTGATATGCAAATTGGTAAATCCAGATGATAGTGTCTCTTATGACATATGGAGACAATATTTTGTTAGTCCTAGTGTAACTAATAGAAAGACCAGAGATATAATAACTAGGAAAGAAAAACAAAGGGGATTTTTTTCTGACATATTATGGGACACTTGATTAGAAAGGTAAGAAAATTACCTGAAAGAAATAGCATTTTGCTTCACAATGGATAATTACTCTCATTTGATGATACTGAGATTTAGGAAATGAAGCCAATATCTCTTTGGTTACAGTGAATAGCTGAGTACAACATTTCCCATAAATTCTAGGACTTAAGCAAAGCACCTGGCTTTAGAAAGTCTATCAGGAGTTCCTGATTTACTCTCTATCACTGGGATGCCAGACAGTTAGCAAGGTCAGTGAACTCCTTCTGAGTTGGAAAATGCTTGATGCTATTTGTTCTACCTCGGGAAATATCTGCTTATATAGGTGACAGTAATGTCAACTGGACTTAAATGTTTAGGATCAGGGTTAACGAATGTCAGCAAGAAGAGCATCAGGCAGATAATGCATCTCATAGCTAAAGGATTATTAAAAGTAGTCACACAGTGTGCTAGGGCAAATCTAATCCCTCAAGCTACAGTCTTTCTGACGCTGAGTTGAGCTCAGCTTTCTAATGTGCCTGTGACAGGGCACATTACTGACAGTTTTCATCTAAGACAAGCTCAGTAACTTCTTAGCCACTCCTGTAATTTCACTGTAAAGCACTCAGGGAAAATCCTACCTACATAAATCTGTCAAGTTCTCATTATTTGAAAAAATATAATATATTTTTGTTGAATAGACTCATCACTAAATACATTTGTGCTGAAGATCTTCCTTTGGTATATGGAACTGTAAACTGAATCTGAGACCATGTGCATGCTACAAAGCACTCTTCCACAGAGCTACTCTGTGGTCCCTCACTAAAAGAAGTGTTTCTACTTAGGTTGTGCCTACCTAGGTTCTCAGAAATGAACAAAGAGAAACAGTGGACAGTTGGGGAAACAAATAGAATTTAGAAGACATGTGGACCTTTTCATAACTTTATATTTTAGATTGCAGGCTTATCAGAAATTCTGTTACACTTCTAAGTTCTTGATTTCATCTTGTTTATGGAATAAATTTAAGCACCTCAAAGCAATTGAAATTTTCTACTGATGATTTATGACATATCTATATCTAAGAAAACACTGGTAGATTTTCTTTGAGACCTAGCAAAAACCTTAGAGGTATTTTGTGTGGCATAAACTAGTACATGACAATTTCTACTAAAAATGTGTTCTATCTAGCTGGGGAGCTGGGGTTGTGTTATCTAACAGAACACAGGGTCATAGTTTCTTTACAGAATGAAAATTTAGATAAATAATTCATTTTGTAGACTTTGTTGCTTTTTGGCTCATTGATTCAACCAGCAAACATTGAGCAACTATTATTTACCATGTAGGCACTGTAGATATAAGGGCTAATGAAACTTGATAGATGAGATATGAATAAAATCTATGCTACAAAATTTGATACTAGTCAAACTCTAGAGATGTTAATTGTTACTTTTTTCTATAATGTCCAAAGAATGTTGGTAATTTTCTGGAACTTTTCTATTAAAAGCCATCAGTCTGGGTTAAAATTGAGGACTTAAAATCCTCAGGTCCATACCCTTCATTCTATACCAAAACAAGGAATTTCTTGTAAACCATGAGTATTTTGATGTGTGTAGTTGGATTACCAGGAAATTAAATACTACTGCTAGACTAAACCATCATGGTCAGATGTTTCCTTTCAGATTCCTGGGGAAACAGAAGAATGCTGTCTGTTTTGTTCATTTTTTTTCCTGTTTGCCATCTTGGCATCTATCCCCATATTTTATTCATATAAATAACTATAGCATATAAAACAGTGTAAATAGCATTCTAATTGCACACTATTTCTATAGCTTTATGTGTCTGGTAAAATCCTTCACTCAATAGTAGTGATGTTTCGAAAGCTTCAATTATATAAGAAACTTTGTGATAAAAGTTTATTTATATTTGTATGTACTTGTTTATGTATTTGTCTGCATATGCATACATATCAATGGACATGTGCCATTTCACATGTCTAGATAGAGGTCAGAATACAATTGTGTCAGTCAGTTCTTTGTGTCTACAACATGAGTTAGCAATGGTAGCAAGTGCCTTCACCCAATGGACGGACCATCTCATGTGCTCCAAACCAGTCATTTTATATTTTTGGTTGTGAGCCTAGCCTTTAATGGCTGAGCCATCTCTCCAGCCCTAAACCAGTCATTTTAAAGACAAAAAAATTAAATTACTTCCAAGTATTACAAAAGGCAAAGCCTACAAGAATTTATTTAATTAATAAAACTTTGAAAGTAATGTTTTATAGATTAGTTAGCAAAATGGAAATTCTCATTAGAAACATGAAGTTACCATATTTTGAGGATATTAATTTTAGTGAAACATTCTTGAGTGATATTTAGTTAGGAGACTGCATCTGCATATTTGAAACATTATTTTCTTCATTCTAATCCCCAAAGGAACACATAAAGTATACTAAGGTATTCTGTCAGACCCTCATCTGAACCTCAGCTCTGCTTTTATTTTTGTTGAATATAAACTTTCTGAGCCAGTTCTTAGACTGGCTTTTGATTCTCTGAATCATATTCTCTGCTTCCTGCCCCCTAGAGTTCACATCTTCTGATTTATAATGTTTTCTTTCAGATTCCTTTATGGATTTCTTAATGGCATTCAAAGAAAAGCTGCCTTTGTTTTCTAGAATGGAAACTTTCTTCTCTCCCATTTGAACCCAAAGCCTTCATTGTATTAAAACATTTACAGTTTTTAAAATGGGCAATGTCCAGTGACAGACAGTCATACCTGAAAACATACATACATGCTATATGGAATGAGCAGGCTACATTTAGGAATGAGCATGTTTGTACATACATATATGCATGTAAAAGAAGTGTGAAATAAGAGGCCATGAATTTGAAGGAGAGTAGGAAGGACTGTGTCCAGGGTTCAGAGGGAGGAAAGGTAAAGGAGAATTGTAATTATAATCTCAAATATAAAATTTAAAAATGAACAATAGTAATTGGATGGCTTTAATATCCAAATGGATTTCCTGGTAAGTAGAAAATGGATGCCTCTAATCATTGACTACTCACATGAGACTTTTTAATTGTTTGAGGCATTCAAAACGTGGAAAAGATCCTTACCAATCAAATCATTCTCCCTTCTTTTTACAGAGATTTGCCTCCTGACCAAAGGCCGACGCACTGCCAGTGTTCGAGCTGATACATACTGTCGTCTTTATTCCCTTTCGGTGGACAACTTCAATGAGGTCTTGGAGGAATATCCAATGATGAGAAGAGCTTTTGAGACAGTTGCAATTGATCGACTCGATCGGATAGGTACTCTTTAGCTTTCACTTTTCCTCAAGCACAATTTCATTTTAGTTTCGATTTCTGTGCATAGATCCCTTGTTAATTTGTGTGAAAAAAAAATAGCATACGACCAACCGTTGAGTAAACAGTTATTTAGAAAGACTCAAGGACCTTCCTGTTCCTTCTAAGTGCTCTGGATTGATTTGTTCATGTCTGTTTTCACCAGCCATGCAATCTGATAGCCCAGGTGATACCACTTCTGTTTGAATCTTCAGGTAAAAAGTACTAGTACAAATTCCAGATAGCACTACAATAGTATTACAAGCCAATACCATGAGTCTATATTACAGCCTAAATTTTATCATAAGGTTCTTTTTATCTTTGTGGTCCAGTTTTACATTTTATACTTATATTAAAAATTAAAAATTTACACAATTTAATCTGTCTCAGCAGAAACATCAAAATGTTCGTAATACAGACTCGAAGAGAATAAGCTTTTGTAGACATGCCCTACATAGATGTTTATTTTGCAAACGTCAATGTTGTGAAGTCTTTTATGCTACAAAGCAAAAATGTATTAAATAGAACTTATTAGTTATGCTAAAGATTTGTGTAGTTTCCCCCAGCAAAGTAGGATCACATTGTCTTGCTGTTAAATTTGCTAGCTATCCCAGAATATGCTGATAAGATAGTTTGAGTTCATTCTTCCAGCTTTAACCATTTTGTCCGCCTTACCTTTCCTTCCCCTCTTCCTTGGCGTAGTTCTGCACTAGATTCATTATTCAGCTTAAACACTGTTCCCTGTAGAAACTTTTCCTGGCTTCTCACCACATGCTAGGCAGAATTCCCTTGATTAATTCTCATATAGCCTTCTACATTCTTCTCTCACAGCACTGGCTTTGTTATAGTAACTAACCGTAATGAATGGAGAGAGCTTCTTTAACTCACCACTACACTTGCAATACCTGGTCCACAATGCATGTGTGTTGAACGGGGAGGAAGGGAGAGGGAACAAATACACCTGAAGCAGATGCAGTTGGGATCAGTCAGAAGTAAACAAAAGCTGTCTCAAGATTTTCATCCTTAAAATGGTAAAGTCTTAATGTTTATGACAGCCTCTTTCTTTCCCTCGATATAGCACTGAATGCAAGATTTGGAGGGCCAAATAATAGATGAGGTAAAGTAAAGGTACTGTGGGGACATTATCACAGGACACAACAAACATACCAGAAGTTCATTTTGACAACTTAGAGAGTTCATGGGACATAGTCATCCATAGAGATGGCACCCATGAAATAAGGAGACATTCCTAAAAGCAGGGCTTGACGAAAGACTTCATTTTTTTCTTTGTGAGTGTTCATATTAAACATAGAGACTAACTTCTGAATATTTGGGATTGGTATCCTAAATCAAATAGACATCTTTAGATAAATGATTAAAATCTAGTATATTCAGTAATTTATATCAATACTGTTCATCTTCATTCTCTTAAAAATTATAACTCATCAAAAAAGTTACATGAAATGGTCTAATCAATAATACAATCAAGAGCATTGTTAGTAAGCAGGCAACTTTGTGGTTTTGACCCTGATAAAACTCAAACAGTGCATTAAAACCATAATAATCATTTTAATTCTTTCCATAGATAAAGATACTTTAATTATGAAGTGTTGACTGTTCAAATACAAAGCAGTGTTGTCTATCTCACTTTTGAGATCAGCACTTAAGTATTTGTTGTAGTTAGTTAAGGCAATCGATCAAATAAACATCTGTATTTATTGTTGATACTAACATAACAGACTTTTTTCTTTAGGAAATAAGAGGGGCTTTGAAGAAAGGAACAATGACTATTTTGGTAATGACATAAAATGATCACATTTCTCAGCATCCAAGAAAATTATCATATGGTGCCCTGTTGCAAATATACACAGCTACTTTTGAAGTGGAGCACTATTTCTTCATTTTTCAGTTACCATGATCATTTGGTTATTATTATTTTATTTTTACATATATGTGTTCTTTTTATTGAAAACAGATTCTTCTCTCATATTATACATCCAGGCCAGTTTCCCTCTCCTCCACTCCTCCTAGACACGCTATTACTCTCTTCCCCCAAATCCACTTCATCTCTGTCATCTCCTTTCAGAAAAACAGCAGTACCCCAAGAGACAACAAACAACACAGTAAACATAATACAATAAGGCAACGCAATCCAACAGGAGGGAAAGAGTCCCAAGAGCAGGCAAAAGAGTCAGAGAAACACCTGCTCCCATAGTTATGAGAATCACAAAAACACCAGCCGCAACATAGGCAGAGGACCTGGTATAGACTGCTGCAGGCCAGGTGCTTAATACTTCAGGCTCTGTGAGCCCATGTGTCTGGCTTAGTTGATTCAGTGTTCTGATGTCCTCCATATTCTCACCTATTTTTTATTTTTCACAATGTGTGATTGTTACTAATTGATATTCTGGCAGGGAATGAGAAGCTATTGCAAAACTCTCAGAAACATATTATTGGAATTGGAACTAAAGTTTATTTATGTCCTGAAGTGAGTTGAGAGATTTGGAGATATGTCTCCCCACCACACACACACAGACATCCCTGTACTTAGGAGCATGCATGCGCATAAGCATCCTCTGAGGAAATTTGCTTGCAAATGCTAAATCTAGACCCCAGGTCAGGTTGCTCATATGTAATTGGTATTTGTATTTCTTTTTTTAAAGATTTATTTGCTTATTACATATGCACCAGATTGCATTGTAGATGGTTGTCAGCCACCATGTGGTTGCTGGGAATTGAACTCAAGATCTCTGGAAGAGCAGTCAGTGCTCTTAACCTCTGAGTCATCTCTCCAGCCCCTTGTATTTCTTTTAAAGCTCCATAGACAGAAATATTCAGTGCCTGGCACTGGTCAAAGGCTAAGTCTCTGAGACAGTTCTTCATGAAACTGTGTATAAAACAGTATCAGATTCTACAATTTGGATTTGGCCCAAGGGAGGGCCTTCTACAGGCACCTAAATGATTCAGGTGAAGCCAATTTGTCATCTGAAGCAAGGCTTCACCATCAGAATGTCTTCCTTTCTTCACAACCTCTTTTCTTTCTAACCCAAATTTATAAGTAGTGATCTTAACTTTCCCATGCCATAAATTCAATGAATACATCTGCTTCATGATCCTGAGGATTGTATAAATGGTTCTGTCTAAAGCCTTTTGTTGACTATGTGTCCCAAAGGAAATGTTCCAGTGTTGTCTCTTAGTCTCCATTGCCTTGTCTTGCAAATACAACTTGAAATAAAAATAATGATTCCAGGCCAAGACTGACCCAAACAGGACTTCTCTACTCCTCAGATTATGCTCCTATTACAATTTATATGCTCCTATTATGCTCTTTTATAAAGCAGCTTTTGTTTTTGCCATCTTTAGTCTTTCCTGTTTTTCTTAAGTAGTAGGTGACATTTCTAAGCAGACTTCTGCAACATTGTACACACGGTAGAAGTTTCACTTCTGTTAGGTGGTGACAGCTAAGTTCTTGACTTCTAAACCTATGGGTCTTAATGCTGAGATACATCACCCAGGAGTAGCCAGTCTCGTGTGGCATTATCAGTTCCTTTCAGCCTGTCTAAGTGCCTATTTTTTCCTTTGCTGATAGGCAAGAAAAACTCCATTCTCCTTCAGAAGTTCCAGAAGGATCTAAACACTGGTGTTTTCAACAATCAGGAGAACGAGATCCTCAAGCAGATTGTGAAACACGACAGAGAGATGGTGCAAGCTATCCCCCCAATCAACTACCCACAAATGACAGCCCTGAATTGCACATCATCAACCCCCACCCCAACCTCCCGCATGAGGACACAATCTCCACCTGTCTATACTGCAACCAGCCTGTCTCACAGCAATTTGCACTCGCCCAGTCCCAGCACACAGACGCCCCAGCCCTCAGCCATCCTCTCACCCTGCTCCTATACCACAGCAGTCTGCAGTCCACCTGTACAGAGCCCTCTGGCCACACGAACTTTCCACTATGCCTCTCCCACTGCTTCCCAGCTGTCACTCATGCAGCAGCCGCAGCAGCAGCTACAGCAATCCCAGGCACCGCAGACTCAGCCTCAACAGCAGCCGCAGCAGCCGCAGCAGCAGCAGCAACAGCCACAGACACCTGGTAGCTCCACACCGAAAAATGAAGTGCACAAGAGCACGCAAGCACTTCATAACACCAGCCTGACTAGAGAAGTCAGGCCCCTCTCGGCTTCACAGCCCTCGCTGCCCCATGAGGTGTCCACTATTATCTCCAGACCGCATCCCACTGTGGGCGAGTCCCTGGCCTCCATCCCTCAGCCTGTGGCAGCTGTCCACAGCACGGGTCTTCAGGCAGGGGGCAGGAGCACAGTGCCACAGCGTGTCACTTTGTTCCGACAGATGTCCTCAGGAGCCATCCCCCCCAACCGAGGAGTGCCTCCAGCACCTCCACCACCAGCAGCTGTGCAGAGAGAATCTCCCTCAGTCTTAAACACAGACCCAGATGCAGAAAAACCACGTTTTGCTTCAAATTTATGATCTTGCTGTTTGTCAAAGCAGAAAAGAAATACTCTAATAGACAGAATATTCACAGATATTATTTTATTCTATCAAATGATAGATCCCTATAGCCTACTCTGAAAAGATATTTTAGACAGCTCTGGCCTTCATGCAAATGTAAAAACATATATACATATGCAATTAAATATATATCTATATATAAATGCCCAAGAGAAGTTCAAAAGACTTGTATAGCATTCAGTGTTACATGTCTTCCTTTCTTTAAAACCATTAAAGAATTTAACCTGTTGTTGTAAGATCATTGATTTCTAAGCCACTTTTACTTAATTCCTTTGATATATAAATATATTTCTCTCTTTTATGAAGAGTCCTTGAGGTCAATGGAATCAAAACTCAGATTTTGAAAAGGCAACTCCAATTCATTCTAGAACAGCACCAATCAAAACTTTCTTTCATCAACTGTACCTCTGCATCTAGATTGTTAATTATGCGGGATGAAATAACCAAATCCCAGTTTATAACTCTAAATTGTATTTTGGTGCTTTAAATTTTGAGTTAAGTGAAAGAACACACTACATTCTCAGCCACCATAGGAGACTAACATTGCCACTGCTAAGGCTCTCTCTAACCTCAAACATGTTCTTAGATTTGACAGAAAGGTGAGGAGATACTTGTCCTCACATGTTATTGGACTTTCGTCAAGACTAAATTAATGTTAGCTGTAAATAACTTTTCCAACCCAAATAAAAGTAACTATTCTGTGTTGTATAGAGGTAAAAGTCACTCACTGTTAAGAATTTAGTTTTATGCCTTCACTTCAAGAGTAAAGCGTTTTAAATGTCACAAAATCAACTGTAACGCAATGGCTTCAGACCTACAATATTATTTCAACTTGCAATATTTTATGCAAAATTGTATGCTTGAATCTACAAATTGCTTGTATTACACCAAAAATTATTACTTTTCTTCCTTATTGACATAATCAAGAATCTGAAACTAGTCCTGGCATGCTTTTTGGGGCAAAAAAGTAGATTCCAATCAGTCATTGTAAGAAAAGGCTTACAGTATTTCTCACTTCTAGACTATATAACAATTCATTAATTGCCTCTTTTAGAATTCTTAAAAGGCTGAATTGGATCTCTGACTTTAATCTAGAAGTGAGGTTTTCACTTTAATTTAATATTACTGCTGTTATCATCATTTAAACAATTATTTGCAAATCACAGCTTGGTTTGGAGTTAAATGTGTTGTGTGTCTTCATGTCTAGCTGGTAGTTTATTGTGATGTTAATGTGAAGAAATAAATATAATATATCATCACATCTGTTTGGAAATGCACATTTGCCCTCTGTATATTGTAACTAAGCAGTTAGTAAATCTTAAGGCATGTGGTAACCAACATAGTCCTTAGATAGACAGGAGGTTTGTTTTTATTTAATGTGCTGAAAATAGTGTGGACGTAGTAATAGGAAGCAGGGGTGAGGTTGAAGTGTCTGTAAGCATTGTTTGTCTGTTTACTTGTTTTCTTAATTCTTTCTGTGAGCATCAGCCTCTTCTTGAGAAGTCCCTTAGTGAACTGTGTGCTTACTGCATCCCACACATGTGGGGGATGACTGGAACACAATGGGATGATTCCTAATGTCTGACTTCCGTAAATAACTCAAGAGAGTGACCTGAAGTGAAGGTCTTTAGAAACACAGGCAGAGATGATTCACTTAAGAATGTATAGACCACACATTCTATTGGGACAGAACCTCTAGATAGATGTGAGGATAGAAAACAAAAGCAGAAACAAAAGCTCTAAAGTGGATCCATGTTGCCTGTTATGCCTTTTACGGATCTAACACCCATGAAACCAAAAAGGGTTGTTATGCTTAATTGCTAACAGTTCCTAACTTGTGTGGAAGTAATCAGCAATGTTAGGCATGGTGACATGCTGCTGACCAATGACAGCCCATTGGGAACGATGTAAGGGAGAGATCGTTTGTCCTACCTAGAATCTATGGGAAAGTCACAAGGCCATTTACATATCAGTACAAAACTCCTTTATTTTGTTAAAATATAAAAATTAGCTCCAATTTATTAAGATCATGCACTAATCCTTTAAACTATTAAAGGTTTACATTTGACAGGACTAATGGGTTTGGTAGCAAAATATTTTTTATACGTAAAAAATTTTGAGCACTATTGGGAAACATCAGCAAAATTGAATTGCATGATCATTCTGTGCAACCATGAAATTTTTATTCACTTTGTTCTAGAATGGACAAAGAATCCTAAGGTTTATATGTTAAACTAACAAAATGGTACAGGGTAAATTATATACACATATGTATGAATGTATATACATTTAGATTAAGAAGAAAGCGACGTACATTCCTGTAATATAAAGGCACAGTGCTAGGTGAACATGACTTTTTTTTCTCTGTACATAGTTAAGCTCAAGTGTGGAGTTTTAATCTGTACAGAAAGAACTGTATTATTGATCTTTTGCTGCTGACAAGATAAGAAAATATCGGATCCTTACCACTGTATGACCAGGGAAGAGTTAGAGTAGAGCTAGAGTATGTCTTTTGTCTTTGCTCAAAGCCATACATATAAATATATATAAAGATTATTAATAAATACAACAGAAAATAAACTAAAATTATGAATATTTTATTTCATTGTTGAACTCTAATGAGATGCTTTGCTTTGTTGATAAGTATACATTTCCTTGTCCTTCTGTCTTTGTATAATTTCCAAAAAGATTTATTCTTGAAAATCACCATACAACTCTTATAACACAAATACACAATGAACATTACTTAAACAGAACATGGATTTCCCAATCATCCCTTTGTCTAACTTTACCCATGTAGTAAATCTCTGTTTATTCTATTCTTTACTCTATGCTTCTTTAATACATGGTATTTGTCCAGTTTCCAGTCACAGCCATGTTTATATCCTTGGATAAGAGGATGGTTTTTAATTTATGTACAGGACCTGTTTTCTTTGGGCTTTTCAAATGCCTCTAATGAGTCTTGTCACAACGGGTGTAAATAGTGAAGTACTCTTAAACACAATGAGGAGAAAAAAATGTGTTTTGCAATTTACTGGCATCCTGGAGCACACAGCCTGCCTCCAGGTCTCTGTGGCCTCCATGAGGGAACAATGACTAAGTGCATGTCATCCTACTCTTAAAAGATGATTATTATACTATTCACAGACTTAGGTGAACACAGTATTTTCAGGATACTGCAAAGGAAAAACAAAACAAGTTATTCTATTCATTCCACAGGACATGAACAATTTAAGCAATATGATGAATTTAATCTTTTAAATATGTTATTTTAAAACTGTAATTCTCACGTTTCACAGTACAAATCATTTCTAATAGTCTTTCAGGATTGTTGGGTAAAACTGTCTCCATCTATTCTTTACTGACTTAGGGATTTTTATTTGATAATTTTACTATAATTTCTCCTTTGGATGTTACTTTCCATATTTATATAAAACCACATGACTAAGATTTTTCTCACTTTTATCTCCAGCATGGTAGAGTATGTGTCATGCAATGCAGTTATTGGATAGGTTACTGTTGCTGTTGTTATCATTCATGTTCACTAACTCCAACAAGGATTTACTATATGCTAGGCTAATCTACCTAAAAATTTATCAGTCTGTGCCATGAAAAATGTTTATTCCTATAATATAGTCAGGTACTGAGCTATACTGAACTTTGAATACTCAAAAAATAGTCATGAAATATGCAATCGAATATGTGGACCAAATTTTACCTCAGTTCTTTTAACTTTGTTCAAAATAGTTCCCAGAATTTTTGGAGATTGCTTTTCTTCCCTGAGGCAATTGACATCTTCATGGATGGGTCATTTTGACCTTGTACACATTCTTAACTTAAAGGTATAGGAAGCATAAAAACATCCTGGTGGAGCAAGAAACCCATCTCCACAAAAGATCACTTCCTTCTGATTCAAGTCTGACTTTTTGAATATTTGATTGCTTTACACTTTGTGCAGTTTGACCATGAAATGCCATTACTACCTGTTACTGAAACAACCTCTCTCTAATTCGAGGTGATGAGGAATGGAGAAAATTGTCTAAGCAAATCTGGAATTCCAGTGATATGAGTGACATATTTGTTCCAAGTATAATTTTTGATTTCTCAGATGACTCAAAACAAGAAAAATGTTGTTTTATAAAGTCAAAATTAATGTGAGAACCATAACCTATTCCTAATTAAGACAGGACCTCACACCACCCTCACATGACCATGCCGTTCTTATTTTACCATAATCCCACCCCTGTTCCTTGGCCAAGAGTGGATGAGTAGTGACAAATGAAGACTTGAAAACTTTGTTGAATGAAGCCTTGTGAAGACTTGTCCATGTCCTATTATGAGACTTTTTCAAAGATAATATTAAAATAAAATGTATGCAAGTCTATGAATTTATTTCCAGGATCCTTGATGTGGAATGCCAGTAGAAAGAAAAAATTATGAAGAAAGAATCTCCATATAATGGTAAATGAAACTTGCTTCTAAATGTGAATGTTTAATACAGCACTGGTAACTGGCAGTAGTCACATCTCACTGAAGCTGGAATGAGCCATAGATTAAAGAAAACTATTCTGAAACAGTCAAACTGGATCTAAGTCCTTTTAAAAAGCCATTTTTATTATAAGGCCAAAGGTTTTATAATTTTATATTTTATTCTTAATTTTATGGAGCAATGAAAGGGTACATGGTGAATTTGTGTTTTGCTAATGTGAAAAGAAATAAAATTAATTTGCGACAGAGCAAGAACTAAGGCTATTTGTTACCTCACACTACTTGTGAGGCTGCTAGGCCAGAAGAAAGATCCTTTGTGTGTCAAAGAGTGGGGATAATTGCAGGACACCAAAAATTCACCAGTTTTGCATGTAAAAACTGTACAGGTGAAAGGCAAGGGCATGAAGAATCACAAATGAAAATGCCTTAGAATATATAACAGGGAAATGATTTGGTTTCAAATGAAGCTCTTTCCCCAGAAACGACTTATGGTATCCTGTTCCACAGACTGAAAAATGTAGACATTCTTAGGGGGATGTTTCACTTCTAATGTAGCATAAATCACCATTCAACTCAATGAATACCAGCTCCTTTATTATTCTGAAACTATAATTATTTTGTTAACATTTGAACAGGCTATGCTATTTATCCAGTGGACACATCCACAAAAAATAAGTGCATACAGCACTTCTTCAAAAGTAAGGATATTTTTATTTCTTATATTTCCTAGGCAGAAATAACAGCCTTTTGCCAAGATTTAAGTTAAAATTTTATTATATTAAGCATAGATTTCTACAAAGATAATTCAGATTTGTAGAAGCAACATATTATCTTAAAACATATTTTAGTTTCTGTATATAGTTTAAATTGTGGCAAACCCCTCAGAAGCATGAGACACAATTTTCAAGGAAGTACTCACATAAGTCATTTGAGAGATCAAACCAATTAGCCCAATGTATAGCCTTTGCTTCTCAGTATTTAAAAACAAAAATTGCTTGCCTAACTCCTGTAAGATATGTTGCCAAGGTCTTACAAAAAATTCTATTGATAACAAGCAATTCTGAATGCCTGAAATTATAATATTCTGATATTTAGCGTGAAATATTGAAGTTCAGTCATATTAGATATAATTTCATAAAGAAAATATTTGTGCATAGACAAAGTAACTTATGTCTTCCATATATCTCTATTACAATGATCCAAAATATAGTAACCATATTGACTCGCAGATGAAAGTATGGAAAGGTGCAAGCAATAATGTCCCTCAGAGTAAAATGCTGGACACATCCTGAAACAACATAAATCAAATTCTGTTTGACATCGCAATCAAGAACAGCCTTCAGGGTCAGTGCCAAGTTAATATAAATATTCAAAATTGTGATTTATCTCTTCTCGGCAATAGCAATCTCATTTTGGGAGGTAGCCAAAATTAATTTCAAGCCATAGTTTCTCAATCTGATAAATGATCATGTTATCACCACTGTTTATGGTAAGAAGCAAATTGTGGTTTATCTTCTGTGTAGTTCATAACTGTTCCTAAAGGCCTAGAGATGATCTGAAAGCATTGGCCCATACAGGATCACAGAGTCTGACTATGCACGGTGAAAACACTGTGGTATTTACATTAAAAGGGTTAATGACATCTCAGCTTAATATATAAAATATCTAAAAATAGTTGTAGCTCCTTAGAGGCAAAAACGACCTGTGTTAATTTTGTACATCTTTTTAATGGGATGAATATTTACATAGGACACTCTGTGTTTCTACAAGTAAAAGCAACTTTTAGTTGCTTAGAGGAACTCTTTACATTGATAACAGAGATAAAGGGGGCTATCTTTATATTAGCCTTTTTCAAAAGTGCACAAGCAAAAATGTATTACAATGCTTTGTTACTCCCTATACTAAGTATGAATGTTGGCCAGTTTTATGATTACCTGTGTCTCAGTATTGTAGGCTAAAGTTGACCAGATTTCTAGTAAGATGACAAAGTTTCTTTCTACACTGGGTTGTTTATGAGCAAATGAAAGGGAGAGATGGAGGGATGGATGGATGGAAGGAGGAAGGAGGGGATTTGGCTTAACAATATTACTTTTTTAGTCACTTGATGACAGATTATTAACTTCATCATATATTTTGAAGTTAGTTGGATATGGAAAAACAGCCCAGTGGAAATCTTGATGTTGCCAGAAAGCTTCTCAAGCATTTTATTAGAAGTGATGGACACTTTGCAAATGGGCATTCAAAAGTGTTCTAGAAAGATTCTGGGTGTTATTTCATTATAGTCCTTCTTTCCTGTAGGTCGATGGTTTCTCAACCTGTGGGTCATGACTCCTTTAGGGTCAGAAGGCCCTTTCACATGGTTCATCTAGTCTATCTGAAAACACAGGTATTTACATTATGATCCATAACATTAACAAAATTAGTTATGAAGTAGCAGGGAAAACAATTGTATGGGATTCTGCACAACATAAGGAAATGTATTAATGGGCTGCATTAAGAAGATGGAGAATGACCACTTTTGATAGTAATACATTACAATCATCCAATTGACTTCAGTTGGTATGTCTGCCCAAGAAATGAGGTTATGGCTATAATCTTAAACAACTTCGAAAACCTATCCCAAGGAATTCCTACCTATCAGCTTCAAACACCATATTTCATAAAACATCTATTCCTGTGATAACAAAATTTGGAGTTTCTGGCAAGAAAATTTTGATATTTTAATGACATTATATCTCATAATTATGACTCCATTATCCATTAAAAGCTTTACAGGCTTACTATAAATAAGCATGCTATGTCTACAGAAAATTGTAAGCATGCCATTAGTCCTTTATTTTATATCTGAGAACAGGAAAGAAGCCACCAGCTAGAAAAAGAAAAAATGCACATTTCAGATATTAATCTGCTTTTATAATATATAATTGCAGTTAATTTTCTTCTAGCCTGACCAAGAATTGATGTGTAACTCACAAACAATGTCTACAGGCCTCAGGTTCCAAAGTAAACAAAAGGTCATCCAATTCCAGTACATGAAAGAGAAAGTGACACAGATTAGTAGCAGATGTAATCTGAATGCATTGTTCAGTATTCATTTCTATTATATGTTGTATTCAGCGGTTGTGCTAAAGGCAAGTAGAAGCATAACACTGACCTGGTAAGGAAGACTACTTTAAAATACATGATATAAAGGATTTTTTTATTGTGTATGGGGCTCATTGTTGTCATCGCTTAACATTACATCCATTTCTGATTTTTTGCGGAGTATTTCTATAGATTATTTATTCCCTGTTTGCTTTCTTCACCATAATATATTACATATGTGCCTTGTATAATATGAAAAATAATCAAATAGTCATGGGTTTATTTAAAATACACTTAAAGATGGGTACTTCAAGTCAATATAGTCATCCTAAAGGAAGTCATAAAATATGAATAAATTTAGAAAGAGGTAGAAGGGGTTCATCTGAAATTGCAATAAAAAATGCAGAGGTGAAGGAGAAGCTGCCATAGCCTCAAGACCGAACTTTAAATCCACAGAAATAAAAGAAACATTGGAAAGAAACTTGGGGGAATAAAACAAGATCCATGTGTATTCGTGTTTTGAGACCTAATCTTATTTCTACCTTCTGCAATATTAACAATGGTGTCATCACAAATCCTAAGCACTTAATTTCAAGAACAGTGTGGCTACTGGGAGAAAGGAAAGTGTTGCGAGAATCCAGAATGTAGATAGACCAAAAATGTACCTTTTTCAATTGAAAAGAATACCTACAAGCAAACAAAGGAAAGACAGCTTTGTACCCTGGACAGAAGCATGAAGTGGCAGAGTATGATTTAGACACACAAATGCACAGAAGGCCTCTGAAGTGCCATGGTGACAGGGTTTCCCACAACCCCAAGTGAGAGCATACAATGCTAACAGTCTTCACACAAAAACTACACATCAAAGGGGTGCCTTCTTTCCCCCAATTACTCTCTTTTCTCACTGTAAACTAACAGGAGGGTTACCCGTTTTTGTTCTCGTCGTGTTCAGTAATACTCTTCATGTGAAAGGTTTCAACTAAGAAGTCCAATCATTAGAGAGTGGGGGTGTATATGGGAATAGCATGACAAAGATTTGCCCAATATAATTGTCTCACAGTATATATATGTTAAGTTTTAAATTATTTTAAGTGTTCTTCATTAGTTCTATCCATACTGTGATAAAACATATTTGTAAATATGTAACAATTTTTCTACCAATAACTCATTTCAGAAGAAGAAACCATGATAAAATCTTCCCCATAAAAACTGGATTGAGAACTACTATCCTCAATGCAAAGGCACTTTTTTTCTATAATTTTTTATTGCTGAACATTTTTATCTTTTTTCTTTCCTTTGTGTTTCTCCTTTCTTTCTTTCCTTACTTCCTCTCCCATAGTGTCTATATCTAGTTTTCTATTTTATGTTGTTTTTCTATTTTCATATTGCTTTATAATCCTGGCTATTCTAAAATTTACTGTGTAGACCAAGATGACGTTCAAACTTGTGAAAATCCTTCTGCCCCCACTTCCTGAATGCTTGGATTATAGGTAGATGCCACCATTCCACATCATACATAACGTCTTGTTTTATATGAGAGTGTGTTACCCAATAAAAACGTATTTAACTTAGAACAAATAGAATGACTAACAGGAAAAATTACTAAGGGAAAGAAGTCATATTAATTTGAAAACATCAAATGGACTGACTGTGCTGTCCACAATTTCTTACATCAGATCTATAAATCTCAATACTAATACAAGGAGAAGCATGGATCTTATTTAATAGTTACCATAGTGAATGAAGCTTGCACATTTCTGTGAGGAACTGGAAATGCAGCCAGAGGCATACTAATGGTAACATCTGAAGGAAATCTAGTGGCACTTTTACATGTATTGTTATTTTCATGTTGTTTCGAAACCTTCTATCTAGTAACATTTTTTGAGTATGTGAATTTCTTCAAGTTCAAACTAAGCCATTACTTCAGCTTGTTGTTTTGGGGTCCTATTACTTATCAAATTCATTCCTTGAATAATAACATGTGTCAAGAAATAACCTGGCTATTGTGTATATAGCTATGATTTAAAACGAATAAAAATGTGGGCTAGACAGGTACCTGGCTTGGTGGTTAGGAACATTTAACGCTTTTATAGTGGACCTGGATTCATTTGCACACGTCTGATTGTTATTGTAGTTTCAGGAGATCCAGGGAACTAATGTCCTCTTCTGTCCTCCAGCGATATCAGGAATACACACATGTACCCAAACAGATGCAGACAAAACTCCCATGCACATAAAATAAAAACATACAAATCTATTTTTACAGAGAAAACAAAGGTTTGTACTCCTGTTAAGTTTATGTATTTAAAGAAAGAAACAAGTGATAAACAAATAAGTAAAACTGTAGACAGAGAAGAAAGCACTGGAGGAAAGAGGTGTCGGGGGAAGAGGAGGGAGTGCCAGGAATAAGGACTGGGAGGAGATGCTGTTTCCAGTGCTGTCATCAATGATGATTCATAAGAGAGAAAGTGAACAATACCAATGTACACAGACAGGCAGACTATCTGAGAGCCCAATGCCTTTCTGTGACTTGTTATTAAAATTGTAACACAGGGATTGACATCATTAGTACCTTCAAAAGTGTTTATTAAGAGCAGGTTCCTAGGCCTGATGCCACACAGGCAGCAGTGTGCTCTCTGACAGAGTCCATGGGAATGTATTATACTATGGAGAAGCATGAACTGGAAAATTTTAAGAGAGACAAATGAACTGTCAGAGATATTGACATTTTTGGGAATGACACATCACATAAGAGATATTGTCTACACAGGGAGAGTGAGAAGGCTTCAGATAAACATGCAGAACTTGAAGGCCACAGCCAGTCTTGCATATCACCATTTTATCCTGGACCATGCAGAACTTACTTTGATTTACATTCTTTTCCCCAGCCTATCCCTGGCACTTCTATGGAAGCAGAAAAAAGAAAATGAAGATATGTTGTATTATAATTTCCTCACTTTAATTAAGTCTTGCTATCACAGCCACTAAAGTTTCTAATCTAACATTAATCTGCTATATTTTCTTTCCAACTACTGTTTAATGTTAACAACCACTCATTCTCATTGTAAAAATAAGTTGCCGAATGTTCTGTAACTGAGCTTCTATTTTCCCATTAAATCTAAGCACCTGCCGTGTTTTAAAAGTCTGGCTATATTTCTTGGCTCTACTATCTATTCGTGTGTGTGCGCTACTTACATAGTTGTACAGCATCTCATCTTTCATTATTATATTGTTATTAATACTTCTCTCTCTCTCTCTCTCTGTGTGTGTGTGTGTATGTGTATGCATGGGTGTACATGTGAGTGTAGGTGTGCACACCCATGTAGAAACAAGGGATCAATATCTGGTGTCTTTATAGTACCTCAGCTTGTTTTTTAAGTTTATTATCATTTCTTTCATTTATTTTACATATTGACTACAGTTTCCCCTCCGAACTCCCCTCCACACCTTGACTTTTTAACAGGGTCCCTCAGTGAACTTAGAAATATTCATCTCAGCACAGGGTTTTAAGTATATACTACCAGATAGAGATCTTTATATGAGTTCTAGGGAACCTGACTTAGGTAATCATGGTTGTAGAGCAATCACTTTACACACCAGTTCATCATGCCCCTCCACAGTGTGTGGTGAGGGGTGGGTGACAAATACAGATAGACTGAGAGACAGAGATAAAGACGGAGACACAGAGACAGAGCAAAATGTGCATGTGTGTTTAAGTATGCAAGCCTGACCTAACTCATGTGCCACTATATGAGTGCTCAGAGGACAAACTTGGGTGTTGATGCCTGCCTTTCCACTTCATTTTCGATGAGATTTCTTCCCTGCTATATAAGCCAGGCTATCTGTTCACCGGGACTTCTGGGGACTCTTTGTCTACCTCCCATCTTCCATAGGGCACTGGACTACAGACACTTGTATGCATCCATTTCACATGGATTCTTGACACAGGTTTTTCAACTTATGCAACAAGAGGTTTTGTCCACAAAGCCATCACTCCCTCCCTTAAATTTTCTTAAATGTTGAGAGAGAGACAGAAAGGAAGTTTGGCTCATCAGTTAAAATCACCTACTGCTCTTGCAGAGGACACTAACTCTATTCTCAACACCCACAACATAAGGCAGGTCACAGGTGTCTATCACTCTAACTTCAGAGAGTACCTACATGCATGTATGCATACCTCTACACAGACTCACAGATATACACAATTAAATGCAAATTTAAAACATTTGTAAGAGGAGCTTGGTATATAACTTCTGTCTTATAGGGTTGATATTAGGGAACTCCCGCAAAATGTTTTACTCAAGCACTTGGCCCATTTCAAAATTTTATGTGCAACAACAAGAATTTTCTAAGTCCCGACACGATGAATTATGCAGGACAGACCTGTCACATTAGCCTTGCTAGTGGAAAGGGCTACACATGAAATTCAGCTTCTTTGCAGAGGAACATAGACCTAAACTCAGGGCATATAACTATGGACCACACACTACAGGCTTTAGTATCCAGTCTGATATTTCAAAATGAGTTTTATGAGCAAGTGATACTACATAATCAGTAGTCTTTGTGGCAGCCAATCATAGGGTCAATGAGGCTTGTTTCTTCTATGTATTCTTAGACAGAATATGACAGGAAAACAATGTTCCTAGATAGGCACAATGAATTCAACAAAAATCTTACTAGGAGTATGTGATGATCGTGGAGTAAGTAGTATAGTCTTTCTGCTTCTTAAACATATTGTGTGACAGTAGAATTTGTCCTGAGGTCTACTGTATGAAGAGTTGTGCTCTAATAGCATACTGTGTATAACATTTTTGTAGTTAAATATTGCAACCCTGATGGGGGATGTCCTTCTGTATATTGGTTGATGAATAAAACACTGATTGTCCAGTAGTCAGGCAGGAAGTATAGGTGGGGCTATAAGACAAGGAGAATTTGGGGGAGAGGACACAGAGAGAGGTGGCAATGCAGAGGCCATGTAGCTGCTTAGGAAGCAAGATTATCGGGTAAGATAAGGCCATGTAGAAATACTTATATTAATAGTCATGTATTTATAATTAAGAGCGAGCTAGCCAGTAAGAAGCCTGAGCCATCGGCCAAACAGTTTGTAATTAATATAAGTCTCTGTGTGTTTATTTGAAGTAAACAGCAATAGAACCAGGCAGAATAAGAAACTCTGTCTTCACAATCCCATATTTTCAAGATAGGAATCAGTAATTGGGCACAACTGTCATCATATTGGTAAAGTATAATGACTAAAACATATAACGGCACCTACACACATCTCCGTTTGGCCACACAGAGCCTTATCTTCTTTGTGGCTTATTTAGTAAGAGGCAGTTTTCTGAAAGAGAGCACATTAAGTTTTTCCCTTCTCTGAACAGCAAGCCCTATTTAAAAGCCAAGTGCCTGTTTGATGTGCCAAGAGAGATGACCACACTGTAACTGGAGCTCTGTAAGTGGCCAAGCATAGTCCAACTCCTCTGATTCACAAAAAGCTTCTTCAAGTAAGAATTTGACCTTCTTGCTCCATCTTTAAATTAAGGATAATTGCCAGACAGTTAGAAGTTAAGGAAGTGATATAAGGTCATTCTTTCTCTTTTCTTTTTCTTTCTTTCTTTCTTTCTTTCTTTCTTTCTTTCTTTCTTTCTTTCTTTCTTTCTTTCTTTCTTTTTTTGGAACTTGTGCTTTAAAACACCCGGCTACAATTGCAACCCTGCACAATCCTTGGGGTTGGCCACCTGTTCAGGCTGGCATCTGAACTCAGTTCTAAAAGCTTCCTTCACAGCATGGGTTGAGATTTAAACTCTACCATTATTTCATGGTTCCTGAAAAAAAATTAAGTAAAGCTGGGAAGAAAAAGAAAAAAAGCTCCCACTTCCTGACAGAGTCCTTTAATGTTACTGTGGTGAACACTGTTGTCAAAGATCTGTAGACAGGTGATAAAAGAATGGTACTAAAATACTCAGAGAACTGTGAAACCTGAAAATTGAAGCTCCCCAGAATCTCACGTCTTATGTTTAACCAGGTGCTGAATCCGGTTACTGAGACTGAGAGCTGTTCATTTCATTGGTGTTTATTGCTAAAGTACATGCTAAAATGAAAGATGTTGAGGGGGTACAGTATTTATTTTTTCAGGGCTGGAGAGAGAACTCTTGGCAGCTAAGGAGGTGTACTCCCCCTTGCAGAGGATCTGAACTTGTCTAGCAGCCACCTCTGGTGGTTTGCAACCATCTGTAACTCTCATCCTAGGATCTTCCAACAGTTCTGTCCTCTGCATTCATGTCCAAATACACACAGAGAGAGACACACAAACATACTTTGGAGTAATAAAAATAGAATAATAAATACTTGGCTTTAAATTTTTTATTTTAAAACTTGCTTTGTTTTTAAAGCATGTATGGCCAGATTAAATGTAATTGCTAATAAAACAAAACAAACAAAAGGCATAGAGGAAATGTTACTTTTAGGAGAGATAATTTACTGTCAATAATGAGTGCAATATTCTGTGACCTCCCTTGGCTTTTTTATGGTTAGAAATAAAAGAGCTGATACATGTTCAGAGTTTATATGTGTTAACGTTTTACATTGGGGATGGCACGAAAGGCCAACACCCTTCACCCAGTTTATTCTTTGAGGATCTGGTCAATTATTAATACTAGAGACATTTCTTACCAATGTTCTTTCTTTGGAGATGACATATTGCCTGTCATACTTATGGAAAATCCATAGTATACATTTTAGGATAGATAGAATAAAAGTGAGTTTGTTTTTGAATCTTCTAATTACAATTTCCTATATTATTCCAGCCATTTATACTCCTTCAGTTCTATAAGACTCTGAAAAACAATCTGGCATCTTTATAAATGCCATGTAAGTTAATTAGAGCTAGAATTTTTCCAAGATGTGTTTCCATTTTGAAAGGAAATGCAATCATAGAAATGGGAAACAGGCTATAAAAATACTTAAGCGTTAAATAATCCTTGGACACTAGTTAGTGTTCTTATCTGAAAAGAAAAACGTTAACCAAACAATCTTCTGGACTGATTCTACAATGAAGATTTTGAAGCTAAAGACCCTTGCAACTAGGGCTACTTAGTATACACAGAATGATTTGATGGAGGCTAATGATACCATTAATGTCACTATAATATCTATAATAAAACAAATCAAATATTTCCTGAGTTTTTTATGGAGAAACCACACATGTGAAATGAATGCTAGAAACTATTAATAAATTCAAGACAAATGGAGAAGGGATGCAAAAGACTGTAATTAGACCAAATAACAATTGACACGATTGATCACAATTGTCATAAGAACAAAATAGATAAAGTATATAGAAAATAGATAAAGTATATAGAACTATGAAGTAATAAGAGGCCTATGCCAGTATCATAAGAGATTTCTTGAAGATCCAAGAATGATTTCCTAGAGTTCCCAGTTATTACACTGCCAGTGTCCCCTAAGAGACTCACAAGTTAAAATTTGATTCCCAAGACAGCATTCAAAAGTAGGCTTGGCAAAATTATATTCATAAATATACTTTGTAAGAATACAGCATATATTTTGCCTAACATGTCATCTCCTTGACTGTTTTCTCAGTTTGGAGAACAATTCCAAGTCAATCAAGTCAGTGTCTCTACTTTGAGTAAAGAAGCGTCTATCTGCCTTTTTAGTTACCCTGGCCATCAATTATCATTCACACCACAAAATACAATTTCCTATACTCTTACCTCAACATAAACAAGGCCGTTTAATGCATGTACCCTCCACTACAACCATTTCTACTTTATTCATCCCTGGTCTTCAGTCTCTGTTCTATAACAATAGTCTACACTACTGTCTGCTACTTTGTAATTTAATAGTTCCTTAACTATATAGCAACAAGTGTTTCTTTAGTTAAATCTGCTATCAAAAAGATTACATAATAATTATGTGTCAACCGCATTATAAGAGCAGAGGCTATAAATATGATCAAAGCTAGTGACTGGAGGCACAGTGTGTAATTCATTGATAGAGCACTACCTAGAATGTGCAAGGTTTCCAGGGTGGGGGGAAAGCAAGTTTACTTACTGACTTTCAGGGCTACTTTTTAAAGGGGATTCAGAATTTTATAAAGTAATTATTCATAAACAAGACATT